CATGACAACTAGCTCGAGAGCTTTCTAAAAACACTATAATTAAGTATTTCTTTATTCTGTATTTTCCGAGATACAAGGCCTGAAACAGTACCGCCGGCATTACCCAAGGTGTACCAAGCTGGAGGTTGCTCGGTCATATTTACATCTTTCTTGGCTTGTGTGTGCGTGTGCGTGTGCGTTTGCGTGCGTGTGTGCTGAGCTACAAAAATATATACGCAAAAATAGGGGTACCCGTTTAAAATTTTTATGTTGATCTTCGAATAACCTTCAAATTTGACTCTAAGGTCAAGACGAAGGTCACCGTCGGATGACTCACCCTGAACCCTACAACTTTCGTCTGAAACACTTCTCTCTACGACCGCTCCCTGCAATGATAATCGAGATGCACTATTAAAACGAAACACTCTATGTAACATTATATTTTTAATAACTGTTACGGAAATATTGTTTAATAAGGGAAATCGCAAAAGAGTATTTTACTATTCTCTTTACTACAGTATTTTACTATTCTCAGCCTGATGACCCTTAAATATATCTTAACTTTGTTTAATTACCTTAGTTAATTTATTAGCTAGCATGTAATCTAACATGTTAACATACTAACTCAGCTTACTCAGCATGTTAAATCCAACATCCAACATGATGAAAATCAAAGTGTTGCAATACTGTTAGCATAATATCGAATTTGCATATAATTCCCTATAACTGCTGCACTTGTTTTATGTACAGGATATCTGATAATTGACGACAAAAGAAATGTTATGTTTTGCGACTTTCGTTCTTAAGTTATTAAGAATGTTATTCTGTCATTGCATGAGGAGATTGGTAAAAAGCACGATTCTTTTAAGCAATTCATTTTATAACAAAAAGAAATAGAAAATAGTTGTTTCAGTTCAGTTCACTTCAGTTTTGTTTCTCTCATAGTTCAGTTATTTCTCTCATTCTTGTCGAGTCTATCAAAATTAAGTAATGACTCCATTATATTCCTACACGCTGCATTGATTTCGTCTCCTAGATTTATATTCCTAGATTGTCCTTATAATTAATATGTCAAATGCGAAAAATTATACCAAAAACGTTGTTACATTCTGTGGAAATTGTATTAGTTTACTTTTACTCTGTTTGCCGTGTTTTAATACAATATATCGCCATACATGCATATAACTTATATATAATTGCAAATAAAAATGTCAAATATGTCCTATGATGCATTAGTTTCTTCACATTATTGCAATAAAAATGACAATGTTGAAAATTTTGCAAATTTTACAAATTATAACTTACCATTTATTTGAATTAAACATCTTTATCGCCACCTGTGATACGCGACTGTTCACCGAAGGGAATCACACGGACCGACGTTACCCCCGCGTTGCAATTCTTTCCACTTCGTCAGTAACGTGTGAGACTTAATACCACATCGTTAGAAATCTAACATATTTTCAAAGTAGGAAGTAATTTAAAAGAAGTGACATACAATATACGTGAAAACGAAATATAGATAACATTAAAGTTTGCGGGCTTGTATTAATTGTATAAATATATTTAAAAATGTATTGTAACGGCACATCCACGATTGATTCGGCGCCGATTCAGGATGAAATCGTTATATCCGGAATTTCTGGCAGATTTCCCGAATCCGACAACGTCAGACATTTAAAAGAAAATCTACTGAATAAAGTAGATCTAGGTTCGGACGACTGTCGACGTTGGCAACATGGTAATATCTTCTTAAGTATTGTTATCCAAAGAAGTATCGATATATTACATTTTATCTGATATCTGAGTGTGTTGCTTTCCACATGTTATTGAATTCGCAGACCATCCGGATATACCAAAACGCACGGGAAAGGTCAATAATATCGAGAAATTTGATGCGGAATATTTTGACATACCCTTCAACCAAGCCCACCTGTTGGATCCTATAACTAGATGTCTTTTGGAACATACGTACGAAGCCATCGTCGACGCCGGGATAAATCCGAAAGATTTACGCGGCACGAAAACAGGAGTTATCGTCGGGACAAGTTTTTCCGAATCGGAGAATGTGCTTGTTTATGAAAAGACGCAGGTACAAAAATGCAAATAATATGCAGTAAATCATTCCAATCTTTGTCACAATTTTTATACGCAGATAAATAGATTTCTTATAAAATTATAAAATCGGTTTCTTATTTCGAAAGATACGAGGGTCGTTCAATAAGTCCTTAGAAAAAGATAGAAAAACAAATTATTTTGGGTAGATTTTTTTTTATTTTTCAACATAATCTCTTTTTAGCTCTATATACTTTTCCAAGCGTTTCTTCAATTTTTTAAGCCGTCCAAAAAGTAGGATTTCGGAAGGTCCTCAAAATAGCCATCTGTTTGGGCGATGACCTCCTCGTTCGACGCGAATCGTTGTCCGCCGAGCCATTTTTTCAAGTTTGGAAATAAAAAAGTCACTGGGGGCCAAATCCGGTGAATACGGTGGATATATAATAATTCGAACTTCCATAATTTTAGCCATCGAAACTGCGCAGGTGTGCACCCGTGCATTGTCTTGATGGAAGATCTTTTTCTTTTTCAAATGAGGACGTTTTTTCTTGATTTCTTCGCTCAACCGGTACAATAATAACGCATAATACTCTCCAGTTATTGTTTGTCCTTTTTCCAAGTAATCGATGTAGATGATTCCGCGTGCATCCCAAAAACCGTGGCCATCACCTTGCCGGCCGATTTCACCGTCTTCGCCTTCTTCGGAGCCCGTTCGTCTTCAAAAACCCACTGTTTTGACTGTTTCCTTTGTCTCTGGAGTGTAGTGGTGTATCCATGTTTCGTCCACAGTTATATATCGCCGCAGAAACTCGTCAGGATTGCGACGGAAAAACGCTAAAACAGTCTCAGAGTCGACCATACGATTGCGTTTATTCTCCACTGAGAGCAAACGCGGCACCCATCTTGCCGAGATTTTTTTTACATCCCAATTTTTCGTGCAGAATTGAAAACACTATATCTTGCGATAATGCCTGTGGCCTCAACTATTTCGCGCACTTTGATTCGTCGATCACTCAAAACCATATCGTGGATTTTGTCAATCATTTCGGGGTGTTCACTTCCACTGGACGTCCCGAACGATGTTCATCTTTTGTGGGTGTACGGCCACGTTTAAACTCATTTACCCAATTGTAAACAGTTGCAAACACAGGAGCAGATTGCCATGAACTTCATTTAACTCAGCTTTAATCTCTTTCGGTGTTAAGCCTTTTAAATATAAGTGTTTAATCACCACTAGAAACTCACTTTTTTCCATTTTTCTAAATAAAGAAAAGTTTATTGCTTCAATCGACAATAAAAATGAAACCATGTGATGGATATAACTGAGACTTTAACAGCTGTCTAGTGAATACAAGTAATGATGCTTATTAAAAACAAACCATTTTCGATGCGACTGCGAGCGCCATCTCTTGGATTTTCTAAGGATTTATTGAACGATCCTCGTATAATCGTCTCATTTAAAATTTAATAAAATGTAATCAGTTAATATAAAAAGAAAAGTGTGGGATAATTTAATTTAATAGATAAAGGATTTCTGATCGATTTTTAAACGAAAGTCCATTTTCTATTTTCTCGATAATTTACGATTTTGATATTTAAATCGCAAAGAGATGAGATTGAGTGAATTAAATCAAGACAAGAATGAATGATAACAATTGTATGTTATTTATATAACTAACCGGCAAAAACTCTTGTTAAACTGAATTTGAGATATTGATTGATGAGTTGTGCTTGTTGCCGTCTGTTACTTTCAAAGCACGATCAATTGAGAAAATTTGGAGTTTTATTGCTACTAATTTTATATTACCTTTATCTTAACCGTATAAAATACGATAAAATAATACTATATAAAAGCAAATTAGATATCTATCGAAGAAACTATCTACAAAAAATATTATATATCCACATATATAATTTTATATAATTATTTCCATACTATAGTATTATATACTGTATATTAATATACTCTATATATACATGTAGGTTACTGATCATAGAAGTCTAGAATGTAGAAAGTTCATGCAAGCAAATTGGATTTCTCACTGGTTAGGTGTCACAGGGCCATCTTACACGGTCGATACGGCTTGCAGCTCGAGTATATACGCTATGGAGCACGCATACAGAAACATAAAATTTGGACAGTGTGATAACATGATCGTTGCTGCCACAAATCTCTGTCTAAATCCTCTAATATCTTTGCAGTTCATGCGACTAGGTATCTTATAATTACTCTTTACGCCACACTTCGAACGTCACAGATAAAATAATCAATCTCAAAATTTAATAAAGAAATACTTTCGTAAACATATTTTTTTATATTTTTTTACAAAAGTAACTGCTATCATTTAGCATTTTGTAATTTCAGGTGTTTTATCGTCCGACGGGTTTTGCAAACCTTTCGATAATAATGCGAATGGTTACATGCGCAGTGAAGCGATCGGGGTAGTGTTTTTACAAAAAGCGAAGAATGCTAAAAGAATTTACGCAACTGTAATTCATTGCAAAACGAATTGCGACGGATTCAAAGAAGAAGGCATTACCTTCCCATCGACAAAATTGCAAAACTTCTTATTACAACAGTTTTACGACGAATGCAATATATCGCCGTCTGTTGTTGCCTACGTCGAAGCTCATGGTACCGGCACGAAAGTTGGCGACCCAATAGAAATTAATTCAATCGAAAAAGTTTTTTGCAAGGATAGACAAGGCCCTTTACTAATTAGTAGCAGCAAGTCAAACACTGGTCATACTGAGCCTGCCAGCGGCCTGCTTCAAATTATTAAGGTAGCGTGTTATTATTAATAATTAAATAAATTTATCAAAAACACAGATATTATCAATATCAAAAATAACTATTCCATACGCTATAATAATAAAACATCAACTTACGCCATACAACTGGGGTGTTCTGAAATCTGCGCTCATTATTTAAATAGCGTTATTCTTGAAAATATTTGAAATATTTTTTGTGGAAATGTCGAAAGAGATCATTATTCATAAGGATATTCAAATTTTCAACATAACGCGTCTTTGAAGTTAGAAGTTTTCTCAAAATGGATATTTCCCTCTCTCTCTGACAAGGTGCTGATAACAATGGAAACTGGCGTAATTCCACCAAACATAAATATCACAAAAGAACGAGATGATATTGAAGCTTTTAAGCGAGGGACTATACGAGTCGTGACTACTCCAACAATATGGGAACCTACTTTTGTGGCTATAAATTCTTTTGGTATGGGAGGAGCCAATGCTCATATTTTGTTAGCACCTAATATGAAGCAAAAAGTCAACGGTGGGGCACCAAAGGACGATTTGCCAAGACTCGTCGTCCTGTCCGGTCGTACCGAACAAGCACTGGAGTCATTCTTATGTGAGGTAAGTAAAAATTGTGTCAGTTAAAAGACAGAAGTCTGCATTCATGCAAAATACGTCCAATTTAGATTGGAAGTCAACTGGTAGATGTTGAATATGTTCGGTTGTTGCACGAACTCCATGCGGAAGAACTTCTAAATCATCCTTACAGAGGTTACACGATTGTTGAAAACCAAATATCGAGCAGCATAACGAGCGAAATAGATCATTATGATGGAGTAAGAAAGCCGATCTGTTTTGTGTTTTCTGGTATCGGATCCCAATGGTTTGGCATGGGTAATTTCTCTCTCTTTTACGTAAGCGAAACGATTTAGTTAATTATTTATCAATAAAATTGGATTTATATGTTGATAGGAAAAGCATTACTGCGTTTTCCAGCATTTTGTGAAACCATAGAAAAATGTAATATACTTCTAAAGATACATGGAGTGCACATCATCGACATTTTAACAAGTAAACAAAAAGTCACCCTTGACTGTATATCGAACACAGTCGTGAGCATCACAGCAATGCAGGTGATAAATTTTCTAACAATGATCGCGCAGTAAAAATCAATATCGAAGAGAGAAGATCATTTTACTGATTACTCTGAAACTCACGTACTTCGTAAGATAGCTCAATTAAGCTAAAACACTTGTAATAAATTGTTCTCATTTACTTAACATATGATATGGTCGATTTGAAGAATAAGCTTTATGCTCTTCTCAAGCATTACGTGAAATTCGAAAAACATGACTCCTTTATTTCCTTCCACAGCTTGGATTAATAGATCTCTTGATGTCGGTAAACGTTGTGCCAGACTATACCATCGGTCATTCAATCGGTGAACTTTGTTGCGGATATGTAACTGGTGACTTCACGATCGAACAAGTGATTTTGTCCGCGTACTACATAGGATTGGCGTTGGAAGAAACAAAAATAGCGAAGTACGCCATGACGGATATTGGCGTTAGTTACAAAGAAGCGAAAGTCATGTGTCCAGTAGATATCAAAGTAATATGCAGCTATAGTCCAGACACATGTTCCATCGTCGGACTGAGGGAATCAATAGTGACATTTACGAAGAAATTAGAGGTATTCCTCATTTTTCCTTCAGTATATTCAGTCTCTTACACAATATATTAAATAAATAATTCTGTTTATCCACTCACACACAGATTAACAAAATCCCTTATAAGGAGATAAATTGCTGTAATATTCCTCTTCATAGTTGCTATATCGTCCCTGCGAGAGAAAATATTTTGGCTAAATTACAACGGGCATTACCACAAAAGATGATGCATAAACAAAAATGGTGCAGATTGCCTTGCGATTATAACATATCGTATGCAGAATACTTTACCAACAGTTTAGTGAATCCTATATTTTTCGAAGATGTCGCGAAAATGATTCCGAAAAATACAGCGTTCGTGGAAATCGCGCCGGATGGAATTCTGCAGGATGTCTTGAATAAAATTTTCGATACGACAACCATCACGTTGACTCAACGTCATCACGAAGATAACGCTAAAGTATTTTTGCAAGGACTCGGCAAGATGTACAACTTTGGCTTGCAGCCGCAATTAGCCAATCTCTATCCGGCTGTAGAATTTCCGGTTAGTCGCAGCACGCCGATGATCTCGCCGTCGATCAAGTAAGTTGATTACATTACTTGGACACTTTCCGATCCACTTATGATGCGACTGTCTCACTTCTATACTATGTCATCTAGAATCTAGAGTCTATGATCTAGAGTAAATATTTACTGTAGTATATAATGTAGTAAAAAGTTTTCTATTTTACAAAATCTTATGGCATTTATTTTGCTTTTTATACAGGACAAATAAATAATAAAATGTCTTTAACATGTTCATTGCCAAACTGAAAATTTGAATTTCGTGTGGTGGCCAAAGTTATTTTTTCTTTTATTTATTTTTAGTCGTTTTTTGCACGATTGAACTGGCATTGAACTGAGTCTTTTCGAGGATCCTGGTTTGTCACTCATAATAAAAAACAATTGCGTGAACGGCCGTTTGGTGAGGGGCCGCAACACGCGATATCGCGTGAACGGCAATGAACGTGTTAAAAGTGTTAAGAAACAATATATAAACATAATATATCTACCTAATTGATTTATAAATTTACAAGGTGGAAGCATTTGGAAAACTGGTACGTCGCGTCATTCGCAACGGAGAAACAAATCACGTCTAGAGAGATTGTAATAGAAGTCAACATACAAGACGAAGATTATGAATACATGAGCGGCCACATAATCGATGGCAGAAATCTGTTGCCAGCTACAGCATATATTGAATTAATTTGGAAAATGGTTGGAAAGTTAAGGGGGGAATCGTACAAAAATATACCTGTCGTATTTGAAAATGTCAAATTCCTTCGAGCGACACTTCTTTCGAACCAAGCAGCTGTAAAACTAACGTTAATGGTGCAAAAAAGTAAATCAATAGTGTTTGCTCAACAAGTATCTTTTTTCGAACTTTCGATATAATATATTTTATATATTTGTTTACGCAGGTACTGGGAAGTTTGAAATAACAGAAAATGGTAACGCAATTGTCACTGGCACGGTACGTGTTCCACTAGATCTTGACAAGGAAAATGTGCCCATCGATTATCTAGAAGAAGACGATAACGAGAAAGAAATAATGAAAACGAGAGATATATATAAGGAGCTTAAATTACGCGGATATCAATATACGGATCTGTTTCGTTCTTTAAGAAGTGCATCCATTACTGCCAGCCGAGGACACATAGAATGGATGAACAACTGGGTAGTGTTTATGGATAACATGCTCCAAATAAGGATCCTTGGGATAGACACGAGAAATCTTCGTGTTCCTACTGGGATAGAAAAATTGGTGATCAATCCGAGGCTTCATGTGCAACATCTAAAAGATACTACGACTGAAAGTACAGGTAGGTTGACTATGAGACATAAATGTAGATAGATTTGTAGATAAATATAAATAAATATAGATAGAATGAAAGAAATATAGATTTCTTTCGATGTTCCCTTGTCTGGAATCTCCGTAATATTCTCTTTCAAATATTCCTTCATAATTAATATTCTAATTAGAATGTCACTTATAAGATATATATATATTATATAAATGAATTAATTAAATGATACAAGCTAAGTAAAACACGCTCAAATATTCTCAGAACTCGCTGTGCACGTATACAAAAATTTGAATACAGTAATATCTGGTGGTGTGGAGATTCGTGGCATTACCGCCACTATTATACCTCGACGGAAGGTAACGGGGAGTCCTGTCCTTGAAAAATACAAATTTGTAGCTCATCGAGACGGAGTAAAAGTTTCTCTTGAAGTTGGAATAACTCTGTCGACACATCTTGTTCTGGAGTACCATCAAACAACCAAAATGGACATTATCGAACTACTCGAAGATGATGATGACATTTCAATAGAAGAATTAGTCTCTCCGCTGTTTGCTAAAATTTTGGGGAACTTACCGCTCATTCAGCCTAATATTACTTTGATAAATAGAACTAATCGTTTCGATGACATTAAACTTCCTTCAGAAATCGTAATTACAAAGTCAAAGAAGCTATCGACGAAAAACAATATAATGTTAGTCACAGGCTGTAATTTGTTAACGAGCAGCAAAAAGGAAATCCTAAAAGAAATGTTACTAATATTAAGAGATGACGGCTTTTTGTTGACACGTGGGCAATCCCTCACAAAAGCGGATCTTGCCTACGCAGACGCGAACAACCTAGCGGTAATACTCGAGAAACAGACAGGCAATGAGTCTATAACGCTCTTGAAGAAGAGAGGTCAGCCGACGAATAAAACGCAAGTTATATACGTGAACAATTACGAATTCTCTTGGCTGAAACAAATCAAATCAATTCTAAGCACGGCGGACGAATTCACTAACAGTATGAGAATAATTATTGTTGGAGAGAAGGACACAGAATGCGGCTTACTGGGTCTCGTTAATTGCCTGAGGAAAGAACCGGGCGGTGAATTAATTAGAGGTGTGTTCATTCAGGACAAGAATGCACCGAAATTCTCATTGCACGATCCATTCTACGCGGAACAACTTCGGATGGATCTCGTTATAAATGTTTTACGGCCCGAAAAAGTATGGGGATCGTACAGACATCTTCCGTTGGAGCCCCTAAAACACAAGCTTGTACATCATGCCTTGATGAATCAATTGGTATATATCGCTGACGGACAAAACAAAATATATCTTAAATTACCATTTCCATATGGTTAAAAAATTATTACACTAGATATGTTACTTATCATATTTAATTAAACAAAGTATCATTTTTATGGTATTAAACATTGTATCACTTTTAGGTGCATAGAGATTTAACTTCATTACATTGGATTGAAGGCGATATCACTCCGGATTACCAGCACGAAAATCTCGTTAATATAATTTACGCTTCTCTTAACTTCAAGGATGTAATGCTAGCAAGCGGTAAAATTAACTTGGATGATTATATGTCTCGCGGACGACTGGAAGATTGCGTATTAGGTTTGGAGTACGTCGGTATCGACGATACTGGACGCAAAATAATGGGGCTAGTCGAAAATAAGTGTGTGACTGATAAATCGTGTAACATTGACAAGAGAATGTCATAAAGTAATAACGATATAATTCTTTATTCAGGTGCATATCAAATATGCGGGTGGTCGATCAACATCTATCCTGGGAAATTCCAGACGGATGGACTCTCGAGGACGCCGCGACGGTTCCCTGCGCTTATGCCACATGTTACTACGCATTGTACCTTCGTGGAAAATTAAAGAAAAACGACAAAGTACTGATCCACTCAGGTACCGGCGCTGTAGGACAAGCTGCTATCAATATTGCACTTCATGATGGTTGCGAAGTTTTTACCACTGTTGGTACCTTGGAAAAGCGAAAGTTCATACGAGATACTTTCCCGTCTATACCGGAGGATCATATTGGGAATTCGCGCGACATCAGCTTCGAACAGATGATATACCAACAGACCAATGGTCGTGGTGTGGATGTTGTATTAAATTCATTAGCCGAAGATAAACTTCAAGCGTCTGTACGTTGCCTCGCCAGAAATGGGCGATTTTTGGAAGTCGGAAAATTCGATATGATGTCTAACAATACATTGAACATGTCGGTATTTTCGAATGGGATTACATTTTACGGTATAATGTTAAACGTTTTTATTAACAGCAGCAACGAACAGAAAGATAATTTAAAAACGATATTAGCAGCAGGTCTTAGAAAGGGAGCCATAAAGCCAATTACTAGAAAAGTTTTTCAAAAGGACGAGATAGAAGCGGCTTTTAGGTACATGGCAGCTGGAAAACACATTGGAAAGGTAAGATGATTGATAAATGTTCCTAATGGCATTAGTTATAATAAACGGGCATGTACAGTGTTACAAAAGATATAGTGTTAATACAGTATGAAAAGTTTTATATGATGTTTTCAGATAATTATAAAGATACAAGAGGAGGAAGAATTCATGAACACGCCTTTGCTTGCCCTACCGCGTTACTATTGTCTACCGAATAGGTCATACATTATCTTGGGAGGATTGGGTGGTTTCGGCTTGGAATTAGCCGACTGGTTAGTCATTCGTGGTGCCAGGAACCTCGTGCTTATCTCACGAACTGGACTAAAGAACGGTTATCAGCGTATGAAGGTTGGGCTGTGGAAATCTTACGGAGTGAAAGTATTACTCGTATCGAACGTCGATGCATCAGACATCAAAGATTGCGAGTACGTATTGAGAACAGCGGAGGAATTGGCGCCAACAGACGCCATATTCAATCTTGCTGTTGTACTAAACGACAAGATTTGTCAGAATCACACGATAGAGACATTCCAGAAACCATTCAAAGCGAAAGCGTAGGCCACGAAGAATTTGGACCAGTTGTCCAGATGCATATGTCCTGAGCTACGTCACTTCGTCGTCTTCTCCTCCGTGTCGTGCGGTAGAGGCAATGCCGGGCAGAGTAATTACGGAATGGCAAATTCTATCATGGAAAGAATCTGTGAGAGAAGAACACAGGAGGGCTTACATGGATTGGCGATTCAATGAGGCGCCATCGGCGATGTCGGTATTGTAGCCGACATGCAAGAGGACGACAAAGAAATGGTCATTGGCGGTACATTGCAGCAAAAAATAAGTTCCTGCATCGAGAAGCTGGAAGAATTTCTCTTACAAGAGCAGCCAGTAGCGGCGAGCATGGTTGTGGCAGAGAAGCGTTCGAGCGCTGTTAGCTCCATCAGTGTTATTGACACCATAGCCAACATTATGAGTAAGTGAAAAGTATTAATTAAAATGAGATGGAAAAGGTTAACTATTAACTATTATTTGAGGAGGAGAAATGCATATAATGTACAAATGTTTGTGTGAGTCGATTTTTGCATTTGCTTGTGCTTCTCGCAGTTCGGACGTTGCTACATTATATTTATTAATTACGAATGACTATTAATACAGGTGTGAAGGATTTGACCACTGTGTCTGCTCAGGCACGCCTGTCTGAACTTGGAATGGACTCGATGATGGTCGTAGAAATCAAACAAACCTTAGAACGGAAGCATGGGATATTTTTCGCTGCCCAGGATATTCGGAATCTCACTTTTGCCAAACTTGCTGAAATGTTTGACCAAGAAGCGAAGAATGAGAATTTACGCTCTAGTGATGTTGCGGATGGAAATAAATCGACTGGTCTAAAATTATTTATCCATACAATGGGTGAAGACAATTTAATAAACGACATCTGTATGAATCTTCAAACGAAAGGCGATACAACGAAGGACGAGATATTCCTTTTGCCAGGAATCGAAGGTTGTGGAAATATTTTCTATTCTTTGGCGCCGAAAATTGAAGCACCAGCAACATGCTTACAATATGGAACTTACAATATCGGCAAAAATTGTAACACAGTAGCCGATATCGTTGATAGTATCTTCAAAGTATGAATCTTTCACTTCAATATAGTTATATAGCATAAAGTACAAGTAAAATTACATTGTAACACAATATAACCTTATACAATATTAATTCCTTTTTTTAACTACTATTATATTTCATCGTCTTTTCTGCACTTTCAGCATATGATACAAAGAATCAAATCTAAGCAAGATTTCCTTATAATCGCCTATTCGTATGGAACGTTAATTGCGATCGAGTTAGCAAGAAGGTTGGAAAAAATGCACTTCCAAGGCCGATTGGTGTTCATCGACGGCGCACCTGAACAGTTAAGAGCATTGTTAAATCAAATTATATCTGGCGCTACAACTGAGGAACTTGAAAATAATATTCTTCGAAGTATAATGGATGTTTTAGAGCCAACGATTAGTGGAAAGGTATTTATTATTATAAATATTATTTGTTAACGTGAGTTTCTCCGGAAAAAGTCAAATAATCTACTTATCTTGCAGCTTTTCTTGGAACTGAATAAACTTACCAACTGGGACGATAAGCTAAATATGTTTGTAAAACTTCTTCCTCCGTTATATATGAAATTCTCTGCCGAATCTATGAAGTCTCTATGTTTAACAATTTACAAACACGTGCAAGCATTATATAAGTATAACATAACGGAATTACCGAAAATTACGTCACCCGTAATATTTCTTAAGCCAACCACAATGTCGCTGAATTTTCCTCATGAGGATTATGGCCTCCATAAGGTATATATCATATAAAATTTACTACGATCAAAATTGTTTAATTCACACGGAGGAATTTTATTCAACGGAATAATTTTCAGATTACCACTGGAAATGTGCAGGTGCATTATATCGAAGGAAATCACTCTTCGATATTGTACAGCGACAAAGTTGTAGCTACTATCAATGGGCAATATATTGATGCAATATATTGACATATTAATAATGGAAAACAATGATTTATAATATACAATATTATAATAATATATGTTAAATATAAGAATTAAAGGGTTAATATAAAAATTAAAGAATTAAAACGTAGATTACCTGTTGTAGAAAGGTGGAATTTGAAAAAAAATACAACGGTCAGAATTTCTGACGTTAATATAACATATTTCCTTTCATCTTGTACGGCTAAACCGCTGTATTCATTTTCTAATTCCACCTTCCTACAACAGGTAATCTACGTTTTAATCCTTTAATTCTTATATTAACCCTTTAATTCTTTATTAAACTTTATTAATTCTCTAATTAACACTTGTTCGTAAAATGACAAAGGACTCTTTTAAAATGTAGATTACGTTTTAGAAGTGTCCTTTGTCATTTTACGAACAAGTGTTGTCCTTAATCGTCAGCCACATTGCACATAGGATTGTAATATGTGCGTGCATGTATACTATACACTATATTCTCTATATTCTAATTTAATATTCTAATAAACAAATACTTTCGACAGATACAGAGAAGAAAGATCATGGCATACTATTTACTGATTCTTTTCTACTTTCGCGAATCTTTTAATTTCTATAATTAATTTGTAGATGAGATTAAAGGCCGATTTTAAGACTGTTTAATAATGCTTAAGAAACCTTGCTTTCTTGCCTTTTCAGAAAGTAAACTGTACGATAAAACATTATTATCATTATTTGGACAGTAAATCAATTTGACATATCGTAATTTAACAAACGATATACGTAATTCAAGAGATAATATTAGGTGTACAAATGAATAATCTAAATTATCTTAAGCAGTTATGAAATCAATTTGAAATTGTAAAGATTTTCCCGCTCTTTTGTGATTATGCAATGTTGACATATAGCTATTAAGGGGATACTGGAGCCGCGAACGAACTCCAACGCGATTGCGCCCTCATCTGAGCGGAACTAATAATGTCGATAATACCGACACTTACAGTTCCGTTATCGACATTTATCGATATGTACATAAAGACACGTTCCAATGTATATTGCGAAAATATACATTGGGTGCGTTCACAACACTCAACAGTCGCGCAACTGTTGAGTAATTCGTCAACGTTATTGGTCTGAGTGTAAGCAACAGTAAGTACCAATAGTCACTAACCGCTCACTGAGCGGTTTTCTCCACTGAACGTACGGTCGCGAGCAGAGAGAAGAATGAGAGCGGCCACCGGCCGTATTTCGGGGGATACGGCTAGGCGCATTTTAGATACGCCATCTGACCAAAATGCACCTAAACTACGTCCGCTAGGCGCACTTTCGCCGTGATAAAAGTAAAATGCACCTAGGTTCGTGTTCGTACTACTTTCATGCAATGGATAGTAGATTAGAAAAAGACAGACGACAGACAATCGTTCCGTCTTTGTCTCACTACTGAGCGGCGCGCGGCAGTAAACACGAGGCGAGGTAGCGGCGATCTTATCGCTAAGCGAACATCTCTCCGCTTTTCTTTCATCTTTCACGCTCCAGAGACATCAAAAGACGCGGTAGCGTCTCGTTTCAAGGGAACGTGCGAAGCGAGGAATTATTTTTCACGCATGCGAGGTAGCACATGGAAGACTAGACGAGCGTCGACATATTATCTGTTTCTTTCCCGCTCGTCTAGCTTATTGACTGCGTGAGCCGCGAGATTTTTCTCGCTACTCCTATACCTCGCTCTTTCTCTTTCTCTCGCTCGTTCTTTCTCTCTCTCGCGCACTTGCTCGCTCTTCCTCTCTTCTCGTGTTCTTACGGCTTGATTAAATATATTAATTACATGACAATATATATATAAATAAATGACACATATATAGTGTATATGTATATAAAGAATATTTAGTATTAATGCACAAATAAAGAAGAGAGAATTATAATGAGAGACGAAAAGTTAATAGAAATCCACTCTTAGCCAATATATACATCTTTTAAAAATGATTTGTTATTAAAGTATATGACAGAATAATTTATTTATGCTAATAAATTTAAATTAAAAATTAAATGAAATGTTATTTGTTTTGTAAAAGATATTCCATTGTTACATTTTTCTTTTCGTAGCAAAAATAAATTTAGTCTAGTAAAAAAAGAAATTAGTTTTATTATCATATTTCAATTACGATTTTATTATTTAATTTTACGAATAAATAACGTGCATATTGTTGCTCAACGGAAACCGCGAGAAAATGGTGATCTCCGTCAAAAAATAAATGCAAACTTTTTAATAATATAATAATTTTTTTACGTAAGTGTTTGTTTTTATAGTATAACCTGTTGAATTTTATTAATTATTAATTCAGCATATTATAGTATAAAAAATATATTTTAATATAAAAATTAATGTAATATTAATTGTTTGCATTTGCAAGAAATATGGATAGAACAGGATAGGTTGCAATGATACGTAGAAAGAAAAAAGATAGATGGATAAATAGATAGATAGATATAGAGATAGATATAGATGGATAAATAGATAGACAGATAGATAGATAGATAGATATATAGATAGATGGATAGATAGATATAGAGAAATAGATAGATAGATAGATAGTATAGAAAAAAAGATAAATAGAAATATAATTATCATTATTATTATTATTAATGTTTTCAGTTTCAAGAGAACATTCGCTTAAACGTAAGTTTTACTTAGGTCCAGTTACGAGTGTTAACACTCTTAAAGTCAGCCGAATTTTAAACATCTCGTAGAAACAAGTGCTTCAACTCATCAATATAAATGTAGAGGAAAGTAACCGAAACAGCCAAAAACCTCCTACAGAAAGGAAGAGATTTGAGCAGAAATTCATATTCAGTAGCTTCGAGATATTAAGTCAATTAGACATTCCATGTTAATGTAAGTTGCATATTGAATAATAATCATTCATTGTTAATCTCTTCTCTGCTTCGTATTTATTTTCGAGCTTTTTGCATTATGTTTCAAATCAGCATGTTAATCTTTGACTTGTGAAAGGAATTGTTCAATTAACAATTGAAACTTAGAGAATGTAATGAAAGACCATATATCATTGATAATTGATATGAGCAATTTCAATCGGTTCAATCGAAGAGCGTTCCATTGTGTAGGTTACAATTGGTTATATAGATAATATTTATAATCATAACATCGTGAAAGATGCCGATGATTCAAAAACACTAAGATTTAGTTTCATAATTAATTTTAACCGGAGTTTAAGACTTATTGAGACAAACTTGCATAGTCGTATTGTTCATATGCATAACTGAAGTAGAACTAATAATTATATAAAAGTGAAGATGATGTCAAAATTAAGTCAAAATAATTTTGACGTTATCTTGACCTTTGATGATTATTTGTTCTAGAGAAGGAAACAGATTAATTAAATGTAAAATATGTCTAATATAAAAGGCACGCTTGTATGGATTATGATTGGTTGATTTTCTTGCGCATATCAATGATGCGATTATGTAATTTCGTTTAGATAGACTTTTAAAGAGTTGTCTTATTCAACCCGACAAAAAATACGTATATTTCGTTAATTTTTTTTGCGGAAGCGAAAAAGATCACATGATTAAAAGATTACGGGTTTTGACAGTTTGCTTAATGATGTTTAAAGAATATATATACATTTTTCTACAAGTATGTAAGGTTAAAAATATATAAAATATTGCAGTAAAAGCAAAGAGGTTGCAAATAGACGATTCCAAGGAATTTCTAAATGTGTGTGATTTAATTTTTCACAATTATTTTAAGTAGCTTTTTATTTTCTATAAGTATTGCTATCGTCTGAACTACAATCGGAACACAAATAATAAAATGGTAGCATTTAGAACAAAAATCGTCTATTTCTGGCCTCTCGGTAAAGTTTAATAAAAAATAATAATTATTAATGAATTTGGTTAATTGTAATTAAAATGGTAAAGAGAAGTCTATTTTATAATGCTGCCAAGTTGGAAGTCGATTGGTCAAATAGTTATTGAGATATCGTGCGCACCGTGGAACCTCCTTGCTTTCACTGCAATATTTTTCATATTTTTAATCTTATATGTAGAAATTTATATACATTCTTTACAAACATCACATTAAACTAACTCTCAAAACAAAAATCCTGTAATCTTAAAGAAACAGGATATTAATCTAAAAAATAGAAACGATCAGAAATAACCGCTCGGTACTTCCAATATTAACGAATTATATTCCGGTTAAAATAATATAAATCGTATAATATATTCCGATTAATATAATATAAGTCGTATAATATATTCCGGTTAATATAATATAAGTCGTGAAACTGGACCTAAGTAAGACTTACGTTTAAGCGAATGTTCTCTTGAAACTGAAAACATTAATAATAATAATAATGATAATTATATTTCTATTTATCTTTTTTTCTATACTATCTACTATCTATCTATCTATTTCTCTATATCTATCTATCTATCTATCTATTTATCCATCTATATCTATCTCTATATCTATCTATCTACCTATCTATTTATCCATCTATCTTTTTTCTTCCTATATATCATTGCAACCTATCCTGTTCTATCCATATTTCTTGCAAATGCAAACAATTAATATTACATTAATTTTTATATTAAAATATATTTTTTATACTATAACATGCTGAATTAATAATTAATAAAATTCAACAGGTTATATTATAAAAACAAACACTTACGTAAAAAATTTATTATATTATTAAAAAGTTTGCATTTATTTTTTGACGGAGATCACCATTTTCTCGCGGTTTCCGTTGAGCAACAATATGCACGTTATCTATTCTTATCTATTATCTATTCGTAAAATTAAATAATAAGTCGTAATTGAAATATGATAATAAAACTAATTTCTTTTTTTACTAGACTAAATTTATTTTTGCTACGAAAAGAAAAATGTAACAATGGAATATCTTTTACAAAACAAATAACATTTCATTTAATTTTTAATTTAAATCTATTAGCATAAATAAATTATTCTGTCATATACTTTAATAACAAATCATTTTTAA